GAGACCACTGTTTTTATTTTCTGGATCTGCCTCCGATGATATCAAATGTTGACCCTGTCTGACCTTAGGCAGTCTGTTCAAGACTTCCAGTAACTTACTGTTTGTGGCTGTCCCCTTCAGCTGTTAATCCAAACACTCTGCACTAAGCAGGCTGCCTTAGACAGCTCAGGGGGAGGCGGAGTCCCTCCTGGGGGCGGGGTTATTGAGTCCTTTCACGCTGTTGCAGTATGGGGGAGCAGTCCACACTGGTATCCCACCAGTTCCTCTCTCTGTTCTCTCCCCAAAGCCTCCATCCCCAGTCTCTCCTCAAGTGTCACCAGACGTCTCTGCGCCCTCTTTAGCCAGGGATCTACTGTCTGTGGCTGCCACTCTGCACTCAGCAGGCAGCTTAGACAGCACAGGGCAGGGTGGAATCCCACCTGGGGGTGGGGCTATTGGGTCCTTTGACGCTGGTGCCGCTCAGGGGGAGTGATCTCTTTCTGAGCAAAATGGCTGCTGCCACATGGGGAATGAGTCAGCACCAAGATCCCACCAGCTACTCTCTCAGTTCTCTCCCCAAAGCTTCCTTCCCCCATCTCTCCTCAGGCGTCTCTAGCCAACTCTGCCCCCGCCTTTGCCAGGGACCAGGGTAAGTGGCTGCAAATAAAAATTTTGTGTTGACTCTGTAGGAGGCTCTTTGCATCTCCAGCCGCCTGTCTCTGGCAGAGAGCAACCCTTCTGCTTTTCGCAGCTGACTGTTTTCTGTGTACTTTTTGGGCTCTGGTGCTGTGGCCTAGAGATCCCCACTTTTGGTTTAGACCCCACTCTTCTCATGGGGATCCCACTGGCCGTTTCAATATCCTCCTGGTGCTGCTGCCTGTGGGCCCCCCACCCGCCTTCTCAGGTCTTTCCCACACTCCTTACCAGTTAGATTGCGCTAAAGCTGATTCTTCTGTCTCCGAGGTTACAAGGCTCCTCTCTCGCTATTGTTCAGTTTGTTCCAGGTGATTTCTCCACAATTTAGTTGTAATTCCAGGTTGGTCCTAGGAGGAGGTCAGTATGACTTTCATTCACTCCTCTGCCATCTTGATTCTCCCCTAGTTTTTATATTTTAAGTAAAGAGTACCTGTTTCCTTACATGGATTTTTGAGAACTATTTCTGAAAAATGGCTTGGGTTGAATTCAACCTATAATTACTAGCTTTTATTTTTAAATACTCACTAAGATCAACAATATAAGATAAAAAAAGAGGCAAGAGACTTCTGGCCAAGATGGAGGCGTAGGTAGATACGCTTTGCCTCCTTGCACAACCAAAAAGACAACAAATTTAAAAGCAAAAAACAACCAGAACTGTCAGAAAATTGAACTGTATAGAAGTCTAACAACCAAGGAGTTAAGGAAGAAACATTCATCCGGACTGGTGGGAGGGGTGGAGATGGGTAGCCGAGGCAGAGAGGATGCACAGCAAGGCAGCAGCTGGAAGACTGGGCAGAATGGTGGCTGGCTGACCAGGCAGTCCCACATCTGTGTGCAAATAAACTGGGAGGAACAACTGGGGACCAAGACAGACCACACAACCCAGGGTTCCATCTCAGGAAAAGAAAGCCTCAAAACCTCTGGCTATAAAAATCTGTGGGGTTTACAGTGGCAGGGGAAACTCCCAGCCTCACAGGAGAGTCTGTTGGAGCGACCCATGGGGTCCTAGAACATATACAAACCCACGCACCTGAGACTCAGCATCAGAAGGGCCCAATTTGCTTCTGGGTAGCAGTGGAAGTGACTGCAAGCTGGGCAAGAGCCAAGCAAGCAAAATTGTTCCCTCTCGGACCCCTCCCCCACGGACAGCATCACAACTCAGCAGGTTGCCTCAACCTGGTGAATACCTAAGGCTCCCCCCTTAGAATGTAACAGGAGTGCCAAAACAAAGAAATAATGGTCCAAATGAAAGAACAGATCAAAACTCCAGAAATAATAAAACTAAGCAATGAAGAGATAGCCAACCTATCAGATGCAGGTTTCAAAACACTAGTAATCAGGATGCTCACAGAAATGGTTGAGTATAGTCACAAAATGGAGGAAAAGGTGAAGGCTATGCAAAGTGAAATAAAGGAAAATACATGGAAACCAACAGTGAAGGGAAGGAAACCAGGACTTAAATCAATAAACTGGAGCAAAAAGAAGAAACAAACATTCAACCAGAACAGAATGGAGAAACAAGACTTCAAAAAAATGAGAGGCTTAGGAATGTCCAGGACAACTTTAAACGTTCCAACATCCAAATCATACAGGTGCAAGAAGGAGAAGAGAAAGAGCAAGAAATTGAAAATTTAATTTAAAAATAGTGAAAGAAAACTACCCAAATTTGGTGAAGGAAATAGACTTTCAGGAAGTCCAGGAAGCTCAGAGTCCCAAACAAGTAGGACCCAAGGAAGCACACACCAAGGCACATCATAATAACATTACTCAAGATTAAAGATAAGGAGAGAATCTTAAAAGCAGCAAGAGAAAAGGAAACAGTTCCCCACAAAGGAGTTCCCATAAGACTTTCAGCTGATTTTTCAAAAGAAAGCTTACGAGCAAAAAGGGGCTGGAAAGAAGTATTCAAAGTCATGAAAGGCAAGGACCTACATCCAAGATTACTCTATCCAGCAAAGCTCTCATTTAGAATGGAAGGGCAGATAAAGTGCTTCCCAGACAAGGTCAAGTTAAAGGAGTTCATTATCATCCAGCCCTTATTATATGAAATGTTAAAGGGACTTATCTAAGAAAAAGAAGAAGGTCAAAACTATGAACAGTAAAATAACAACAAACAACTATCAACAACTGAACGTAAAAAACAAAAACAAACTAAGCAAACAACTGGAACAGGAACAGAATCACAGAAATAGAGATAAGAGGGGAGGGGTGGGAGGAGATTGGGGGGAAAGGTACAGGGAATAAGAAGCATAAATGGTAGGTACAGAATAAACAGGGGGAGGTTAAGAGGAGTATAGGAAATGGAGAAGCCAATGAACTTACATGTATGACCCATGGACATGAACTAACGGGGGGAGTGCTGGAGTGTAGGTGGGGGCATGCAGGGTGGAGGGGAATAAAGGGGAGAAAAAAAGGGGCAACTGTAATAGCATAATCAATAAAATATACTTTAAAATAAATTTTTTTTTAAAAAAAGAGGCAAGAGGCTCCAAAATTCCACAGGCTCTCCTGCAGGAAACTCTGTGAGCATTAACATTAATAACACTTTTCATAGGCACTTTGTTTTACAGTTTATGAGGCACTTCCAAATATATCATTTCATCTTCACAAGGCAGCGTTGGCATTATCCCTATTTTGTAGAGGAGGAAACCGAGGCTCAAAGAATTAAAGTGACTAGTTACAACACACAGCTAGTAAGTGCTAAAGGTTATGGAACCATGTGTGGTGTGTCTCTCAGTGTAGGCTTATGTCCGATCATGTGTTTTATGCATCTGTGTGTGTGTCTGGAATTCTTGTGACACACCCACAGAGGGTCATGTATTTGTCTGTATCCCTCTCTTAGCGGGTTGTTTCCTGAAAGGGAAAGGAGACAGTCTTATCTGAGATTTTTTTCTATTAATCAGCCTTTTCTGCTTCCTTTTTAGATCTGCTTTCTATTCCCCGGCACAGTTTCCAAGAGGGCTGTTCTGCATGGAGAATCTGCTCGCTTTTTATCTCCATTCCTGGTTTAGGAAACAACAGCTCTCTAGTCCTCCCTGCCTTCTGGGAATTACTTCCTCTTTTCTTCCCTGCCTGCCAGCTTTGTTGAATTCGCCTTAGCAACATCCAAAAAGGAATGAGTGTAGCAACAGCATGTGAACCAATGAAATGTGAGCATAGCAAGAGTTTCTAGACCAATGGGGGCCTTGTGTGACATGCTGGCCAGCTCAGGAGAGAAAATAATAATCTGGAAGTTTGCGAAGCAGCCTCCGGGTGGCAGCAGACCAGCTATATTGGACAAAGCCCCTCAGCTCTCAATAGCTACTTTGCTTTTTGCTTTGACCTATTATTGGATACAAAACCTTTACCAGCTGTAAGAATTTACTGTTAGAAGTGACTCTGTGAATGTGAGTTCCCCACATGGCATAGCAGATGTGACCTGAGGGCAGAATCTTTGGTTCCATCTCCACCTTTCCTATGGCCAATCCTATGACCCCTTCACAACTACCATCTTTGTTGGTTTTGTCACAGCCAATGCCACCCCAGTGGGCAGAGGTCCAGAAGCATAGATTAAAGCCCTTCCCTGCCTTTTCAGTTCCAGTGCATTGTCTGAACAGGATGCCTGGCCATCAGTGGTTTGAGGATAGGCTTGTGAGATTGTTTGGCCCTCTTAGTCTTGAAGCCAGAGGCAGGTGTGGACAGGGGCTAAATAAGACCATGCTTCCATGGCTTAGACATCTTTCTTTTGCCGTTTGAGATGATGTGTCCTTGAACACTACTCTGAGATTTTTGGTCCTCCAGATATCCATACTTCTCTCTAACGTTTCCTTTTCTGCCTGATCTATTGTTCTCATCCTTTGGGAATCAGTTAAAGCTTCCTATGTCAGAGAGTCTCATTTGATTCTCACCCTCTTCCCCCCGCGCTCTCTGGCACTTCCATATTGCTTTCTAAAGAACTCTTTATTTGTGTTTCCTCAGAGTGTCATGGAGCTTCTTGAGAACAGGGACTGTGCTTTTGTATCTCCATTCCTTAGCAGAATGTTGGCATGTAATGAATAATATTATACCCCATAAATATTCTTAGAAGAAAGGGAGCATGCAAGAAACGAGCTCTTGCTCTTTAAGAAACAGTCTTTGGGACTCAGAGGTGGTCTGGGTTGGAGCAGTGCTGCGAGGCTGGTGCTGGCTGCTGGCGAAGCTCCTGGCAGTTCAGCACCCTTCACCACCATAAGCCCTGACACCAGACCAAGCCCTGGGCCTGAAAGATAATCGCCACCATTGGCCCATCCCAAGATGAGCTTGTTTCAGTGACATGGTTTTCTTTTCTTTATGATTTTGTGTTTTAGGAAGAACTAAGGAGCAAATCCAAGATCTGTGCCAATGTGTTTTGTGGAGCCGGCCGGGAATGTGCAGTCACAGAGAAGGGAGAGCCCACCTGCCTCTGCATCGAGGTAAGTCCTGAAGTCAGAAGCTGGGGGAGAGTGGCCACAGCCAGTGTGGCCGCCTTGCTGGAGCTGCCAGCTGGCTCAGCAGTGCCGACAATTTCATCATCTCTATAGAAGCCCACCCTATCTATCTGAAAAGAGTAGCATTTTCATTCCAGGAGTTAAAAATCAGATGTGAATGCAGGGATATGTTTTCTTTTTTTTAAAAAACATTTCACTTTATGAGATTTTTAAATTACAAAATAAGTCAAATAAGCACAGATATTTGTACAAACAATATCAGTAATCTTCCACATAACCTTCAAATCCTGTTAGTCTGCGTTAACCAGTGTTAACAGTGTGCAGTGTATTTGTTCCACATTTTTTTCCTTTGCTACTATAAATATATGGGGTTTCCATCTATTTTATACAAAAATGGGATCATAATATATATACAGATATGTATATATGCAACTTGCATTTTGTGCTCATTCATATATCATGGAAAGCCCTGCAGGTCAGAGTGTATAAGTTCTAGCTCATTTTTTAACAGCTCCATAATCTTTAGTCGTGTAAAAGAACCAGATTTATGTAATCACTTTCCTATAGGTGGACACTTAGTTTGTTTCCCACTAAAAAATAACACCCTTGTTGCTGTCTTTATTTCTGTAGGATTGATTCCCACTAGGGCTTGCTCAGTCAAAGGATATGCACATTTTTTTTAAGTAGACAGAATGCAGGTTTTTCAGGTTTGCTTTGGTTTGAAATGAACTATAAAAAGCAAAAAGTGATCTTTCGAGAAATATTTCTTTCATAAGCAGGATTCTGATAAGTTCTCACTCTTCAGGCAAACAAAAATACCCTAGATGTGTGCCCTTTCCCCCCTTTCTTTAAAACAATCCATGCCTGGAAATATATCTGTCTTTCTGCAAATAAATACACCCAGCTTAGTCCCCAGGTGAAGGGTCCTGATCCATTGCCCCAGAAGGAAGTCCCCCAGTGTAGAAATCTGAGAAACAGATAGTCTGGGGACACTGGCAGGGCCTCACTAGAGGTGTGCTGGCCACTGTGTGGCGGCTTAAGCCCAGACTTGAGGTTCAGAAACCTGGCGCCTGGTCTCACCTCAGCCACATACAGTCGTATCATTTCGAGCAAGCTTGTTGCCACTGAATGCTGTGAAGACAGAGGCCATATTTGGCTTTGCCCAGTGCCCAGCACATAGTAGAACTCAGTAAGAAGTATTGGTTAAGTGCCGTTCATCTTTCTGGCTCTGGTCTTCTTGTATATAAATTGGAAAGGCTGGGCTACCTCCCCGCTCCGGGGTTCTGGGTTTCTTTTCACTGCATCTGCTCTTGCTTGCTTTAGTGCCTTTATTAAGTCAGAGCTGAACTTGTTTCCCTCTCCCTCCTTTCAAAAACCACAAAAGTCTTAAGCAACTAAGCTTGTCTGTGACCGTAGCACTTTAAATAGCCAAAGCAGAACTGCATTGCCAAGTGAACTTTAGTCCATTTCCCTGTTCATAATGATCCTCTGCAGTCCTTCACAAAGACTCGGGCACCCCCGCCCCCAGCTTCACAACAGGCGTTGTAAGATTTGGAGGAAAAGAAACGGCCCCAAAATACTAACCAAACCAAGAGAGCAAAGATTCTTATGGTTCAGCCCCAGAAAAGTTTAAGAACTGGGGCATTTACCTGCTTTTCAGTCTCCACATTTCCAGCTCCCAGCTCAGACTGTTTTGTGTCATAGAATGTGGAATTTTTAAGGGATCTTAAATCATCCAAAGACGCTGAGTGTCTTTCAACAAAGTGACAAAGTGACAGAGTAAAGAAAAAATCCAAATTTCTGACTAATAAAAATGCCCTTTCTGCTAATTTGATGGGGGAGGGGCAGGGATCTGTATCTTCACCACATAGAAGAAATAACCCTGAACCAGGATCAGCACACAGGGCCATGTGGGGCTGCAAGGCGATAAGGTGTCTTCAGTACTGAGTTGGGTAGGGTCACAAGTGCCAGAGCTGAGGCTCCCTCTGCCCTGGTTGGTTACAGGCCAACTCTGCTGGGGAGTCCCCACAAGATGGCTCTACGTGCGTGTGTGTGCATGTTTGTGTGTGTGCTGGCACCCTTGACTGCACAAGCATCTTCTGCCGATCTGTTTCAGCATTGCAAACCTCACAAGAGGCCTGTGTGTGGCAGCAACGCCAAGACCTACCTCAACCACTGTGAGCTGCATCGAGATGCCTGCCTCACTGGATCCAAAATCCAGGTTGACTACGATGGACACTGCAAAGGTAGGGAGCCCTTTCACCACCACATCCCGGCTGCAGCCTCAGGGAGCCAGGGAACAGAGTAGGGTGCCATGGGTTCTGGGAGTCCTTTCCACCTTGACCGTAGCACCCAAAGCTGTGGAGACCACCCAGGTTCTTGGAGCCGTACCCTCTTGGCACTTATGAGCCTGCTTGGTTCATCTTGGGTGGCCCAGGCCTCTGCTCAGGGTTTCCTGCATCAGACCCTTAGGGGGGCTTCTGGCTCTGTCTGCAGCTGGATAGTGGATAGGGCCACATCAGCAATCAGTAATAGTAAGGACATTTTTAAGTGCATTCTGTATCTTTTAAAAAGCAAGTAAATTTCACTTTTCCTATGCTTTTAAAGTCTGGGTACCTCTCAGCCTGGTAGTATTATATTTCCTGCATTTTACACTCAAACCATTGCCATTAGGATAAGAGGGAAGGGGTTGCTCATTAGACATTAGCCCCCTGCCTAGCCTTTCTTAGCCTTGAACTTCCCTGGAGAAATAAGAAGCTGTTTTCCAGTTTCTTATGTTGGTCTCCACTCCATTTCCATGTCCATAGTGATTCCACATGAATTGTCAAAGTCCCAGTGACCTCCCTTACCCGTCAACCTAACAGGACAAGGTATGACACCAGGAGGGACCTCGGTGGCCCCAAAATGTCAAACAAAGCAGGAAAGAAAAGACCCCTAAAACTTGGGTCCTGGAAGAAGAATAGGAGACAAGGGCTTAAGAAAAAATGATGGAAAAGTTATAAGTGGCTCCCTTAATATGGGACAGTTTCAATCCTAGTAATACACCGAAACTTTCTTTTTTCTTTTCTTTGCATTATGCATCTTCTCCTTTTGTCTTTCAGAGAAGAAATCTGTAAGTCCTTCTGCCAGCCCCGGTGAGTGCCTGTTTTTCTGCAGTGTGCGTCTTAGGGAGGAAATTCTTTTCATGATGGAAATTTCATGTCCCACAGTCCCTGCTGAAGATCACAAGATCTTCTATGTGGCAGCCCCAGTGACCCACAACTGGTTGCTCTTTGACGTAGCTCAGAAAGCTGCAAAACTTCATTTTTTGTCTTTGCCATTTGAAGTATCTGGGTGGGTCACAATGTTGACTGTTTTGCATTTTTGCTGAGTAGTGGTTGAACTGCAAGGACAAGAAAGCCACTGAGTCCTTCCTTCAATTCTCTGTAAGACATGCTGATGTCATGGGACAAGCAGAATCAGAAGGCACAACTTTTTGAAAGGAGACAATTTGAAATGCCAGTAAGATTTCTTCTGTGATTTTCTATGAATAAAAAGTAAAATCTCATCACGATTTATAGTTGCAGACTTGTTTAGCATATATTTTTCCTTAAATCTTCACAATAACTTTGTGAGGTGGGTCTTATTGTAATTATCTTATAGATGAGGAAATTGAGTCTCAAAAAGGCCAAGTGAATTTCCCTGAACCGCACAGCTTGGAAGTGTCAGAATGGGGAAAGTACCCAGATTTTCATTCACTGGCCCTTTTCTCATCCTAACATATTGTCTTCCAGGAAGTCCCTTTTGTCAAGTCTTTCCCTTCTCTGCTTCCCCATCCACCCATCTCTCAGCCCCACCTGTGGTTTCCATGTGACTTATGCAGCTTCAACATGTCCCTTCCTTGGCCTTGTTTCCTGTTGTGTATAATAAAAGAAAATGCAGCAATGTAAAATTTTAGGTGGAAGGAAGTTTTGATGGACTCAGCTGGTGAAAGAGAGAAAAGCTCTATAGAGAGAATCAGAAATCCAGTGGCATAAAGAATTGCAATGTTCTCCTTTATTCATTTATTATTTCAGCCTATCTTTGATCCGAGAGAGCTGTTCTGCTGATTGATTATTTTCTCCCTCAACTTCCTAAAGTTAATGAAAATATCCTTTATTTTGCTGCTCTTCCTTTTATTCTCACCTAAGCAACATAGTCTCTCTTTTTCAATATCATTGATCTTTATGTATTTTTAGAGACACGAGTTTGAATCCTGGGTCAGATACTTTCCAGTATATGCCCTGGGTTGACCCCTCTGTGACATGTGCGTGATCATCCTGTTTCCTTGAGTGCTGTGGAAATTCAATGAGATGACGCCCTCAGAGCACCAGACACGGGGCTTCCATGTAGCGACTCCCGGGTGACACCGGGGTCCTTACCACTCAACAGACCTTCCTCCCTTCCCTGCAGTCGTTTGCTATCAGTCCAACCGTGATGAGCTCCGGCGCCGCATCATCCAGTGGCTGGAGGCAGAGATCATTCCAGATGGCTGGTTCTCCAAAGGCAGCAACTACAGTGAAATCCTGGACAAGTACTTTAAGGTAACCGAAATTGGGGACCATAGGCTGGTCAGCCCTAAAGAAAGGGAGACTCCCTCTCCTGTGGCCAGACCCTGAGGAAATACAAACCTGTGAGAGTCCTCGAGTGTTTCCTCATTGGAGATCCTTCTGTGGAGCAGTGACAGTGGCATTCTGACCAGCTCGATCAGTGGGAGTCCAGCAGTACAGTCTTGGGGATCCAGCACACACGGTGGTAATAAACTCCTTTAGCTCTTCTTGTCTGGGAAGCTCTGTATATGTCTTCCGCTATCTACTTTTTGATGATATATCTGAGACCTGTATATGCAGTCTTCAAAGGGAGCAGGCAAACAGCTGCCTGTTAACAAGTGACCCAAAATCTCAGACTGTTTTTGAACCAGTGAATTGCCCTCTAGCCCAGCTGGTATTCCTTACAGCAAAATTAGTTGAAATGCAAATTTAATCAGAATGTGGCTAAGACCAAAATCAGACTCTCCCCTCAGCTGGAGATGCAGTCACTCTTTCTTAGGTGAATGTGTAGCAGGATGAGGAGGGGAAGACCCAGGTAGAAAGAGCCTTTCATGGCCATGTCACACACATTCCCTGGGCTCTGGGTGGCAGACTCCTGGTGGCCAGGCTGAACCTGGATCCAGCCTTCTTAGCTCCCTTACCCTAGTATTACATTCTCCATCACCCCAGCTGCTGTACGTGAGTGGGGCCTGGCCTAGCCCATCTCCTTTCAACAGCCTCCAAACTTGCAATAAACCCCACACATGGGTCTAATAACACACTTCCTGCCTTTCCACAACACTGTGGTTACATAGAAGAAAAGGGTTATCTCAAGTATAAAGGTGGGAAACGCAGGTATAAGGAGGTATTATGCCTTTGTAGCTGGTCGGTTGAACAGAGGTTGAGTGAATTAAGGTTGGTTCATGGTCCAAGTTCATGATCCTTCCGCCTGCCCTACTGCATGCAGGCCCCCTAGGAATTCCCGGCTGTTGCCTGGGCTTGTATCAAACCTCTGTTTCCTGTGGATTCCGTATACAGACCTGGCCTGGGGAAACCCAACTGGGCCCTTATGAGATTAGTACAGGCAGGCCTGCCCCTCTCTCAGCTTCAGGCCTGGATTCTGGTCCCAGTGAATGTGAAGTGAGTACACTCAGCACTGCCCTTTGAGAGCTGCCTGGCTGCAGTCTTCAGGTTGTAGTTCCCCTGGTGCCCTCAGGGCCTACAGCCTCTGCTGGGCTGTTCCGCGCCCACACTCAGTCTGATTTAGGCCCTGTTGGCATTAGGCTCTGTAAGACTTACTCTGGTCTATCCAGCACTTGCAACATTTGGACTCAAGAAAGATTTATGTTGCTAAGAATGGTACCTGGCCAACCTTATTACATTTCTGTCCCTTAATTCATCAAGAAGTCACAAGGTGAACACTTAGCAAAGTTTCCTTAGGGTGAATGTATAGTGACTACATCTGAGATTTCTTCTTAGGAGTTAGGGACAAGCCTGATAAACAAGTACAAAACAAGGCCATCATAGTTGTCTTGTACATTCCCGTTCTTATACGTGCATGGAAAGATTTATAGCCTTAGAGTGGAATACATGTGACCATTATGGAAGGAAAGTTGGTAGCTGTATCTTTACCTTCTACCTAGAAACCTGGACAGACTTTTCTTCCAGAATTCCTTACACCATCTGGGGAGCCACCTAGAAGGTAACTTAGGGGTGCTGATTATTTCCCAGGGCAGAAGTATGAAGCTGCCTAAGGAAAGAATTTTGAAAGAAAAAATTTTTTTCATTGGGACTATTTTAGGAAAACAAAAGGGTCCAACCTGGAAGTTGATCCCAGCCTTGAAATTGACATCCTCCTCCTGCAGCTGGGGCCTGGTAAAAGGTCGTGGTTTAGCATCTTGACAAAGTGGGGGCAATGCCTGAGCTCACTGCACCGTCACCAGTGCTTGTGGCATGTCACCTGAGTCACGGATACAGTCTGCACTAGGTGGGCCAAGGACCTGTCCACATGTCTGCAGTGGGGCCCACAGCACAGGACAGAGGGGTGAGGGACTTTTTTCCACCTCTGACTGCAGGTTCTTGATGCAGGAGCTTGGCCTTTGACCCCTCCCTGGTGCAGTCAGTGAGGGGCACCAGTGTGGAAGTTAAGCACTGAGCAGGCCAGGGAAGCTGGAATTCAAGCAGTAAGAAATGGTCCTGTGGGCTCTGAAGGCCACCTGTGTCATTGTTCCCAAGCAGCGTGTTAGAAATATATATCTTAGACTCTGCTGCAGAGGTTCTGACTCACAGCTTTGCTACTAGATGTTTGTTAGGGTTTGAAAATGTGGCATGGTGGCTGGGCAGACCCCAGGGGTGCCATCAGGACTGTCTGCAGTCTCTCTCGAGCCCCTCAGCTTCCTGGGCACCACAAGCTGTGCTCAAGCTGCCCTCCTGAGCAGGGTCTGGGTTTGAAAGGCCCTCGGTGGCCTCTGCCCAGGCACTTTAACTCTCCCTCCTTGGGGCTCAGCTGCCTTCTCTGGGTGCCCAGGGATTTGATCCTCTGGTGCTGTGGCTTTCTGGAGGCCAAGCCAGGGCAGGGTTGGTTGGAATGTGTCAAGAACAAGATGAACCAGAGGTGGGTCAAGCTGAGCGGGGGAATGCTGGAACTGAGTTCTACTGAATTTTCCTGAAAGAGCTCTTCTTCCCCTTTCTAGAACTTTGATAATGGTGACTCTCGCTTGGACTCCAGTGAATTCCTGAAATTTGTGGAGCAGAATGAAACCGCCATCAATATCACGACCTATGCAGACCAGGAGAACAACAAGCTGCTTAGGTGAGAGGGGCAGGGAGGAGTCCATGGGGGCAAGGCTGTACCAGAGAGGGGATATGAAACCCTGCTTCCTTGTGAAGGAGCCACCAATGTTAACATGAAGAAAAAGCAAAATAGGAACCCTGTCCTGGTCCATTCTGTGAACATTACGAACATTGTGAACTAATAAATTGAGCACCACTGGTATCTGATCAAATGATTATTGTTTTTGGCTAAGACTTGCAAGGGAGAGAAAAATGTAATTTTAAAATAAATGATCAAGGTCACATCAGGGCAAAGTTATTTCTGAGTGTTGTGGGCAATGTTTTAATGGTTAATTTTCTGAAGGAATTACTTTAATGTATTATTTAACTGTAGATCTAAAATAGCTTTAGTTCTGATTTTTAAGATAATTGGTACTATTTCATGTAGGAAACCCTAATTGTTACAAATGTGAGTACATCCCTCTCCATTTCTGGTATTATTCCAAAGTAAACATTAATAAAAATGAATCTCTAAAAAACTTCTGGTGCGGTTCCAGTACACTAGTAAGAATTAAAAGTAGTTGAAGCACCACTTCATTCAAAAGAAGTACAAAACATGAGCCCAGATTCTAGAAAGATTCTTCTTAATCATAGTCCATGGCCTACATATAATATCTGAAAATCCTTCGTATTTTGATAACTTAAAATTAAAGTGTTTTATAAGTTCAACATTTGCTCCTCATAACATCCCAGTGAAGGAGGACCCCTTGTCCCCACTTTACAGATGAGAAAGCAGGCACAGGAAGGCTGAATGACTAGCTCAAGGCCATTTGGATGCTAAGTGCTTGAGCCAGGGCCCAAATGCCAGCCACAGGAGAGTGAGGGAGCTGGGATTCTATGAAACTCTTCTTGAAGATCTCTTTCTAGAACAGTGATGTTTGCTTGAACTCCACATTGTTTCAAATCACACATTCCTTTCACATCACCTGTTTCCCTCTCTTCTGTCCTGATTTTCCTAGTTTAGTTGGCTTGACACTTATACCATAGGGAAAGGCAACTACTAATGGAAGGTGTGCAGGTAGTGAAACATTTCTCAATCAAAATTGGGCAAAATCATTGAGGAAATTTTAGTTGCCTCAGGAGGAACTTTTGAGTGATCTGACATCTGGTATAACTGAAGGTTGGATACTTACAGGAGTCAGGATGGTTGATGGTTGTGGGAGGTCAATATAGCGGGAAACTTTCTCAGCAGTTACTTGCTTCGCCTCCTCTGGGGGCCCCAGATGCAGGTGGTCCTGGTGCTGATTTCCTTTTTTCAGGAGTGAACCAAGGGCTGGCTGACAGATTTCTCCTGTGTTTTGTTTCAGAGGACTCTGTGTCGATGCTCTCATTGAACTGTCTGATGAAAATGCTGACTGGAAACTCAGCTTCCAAGAGTTCCTCAAGTGCCTCAACCCATCTTTCAACCCTCCAGAGAAGAGTATGCTTATCCAAAGACAGGGAGTTACAGGGAATGGCAGCATTTTGAGAGGGCCAAAATTGACGGAACTCTCCAGAGATTGCTAACAAAATTCCCTTTCACAGTTCTAGGTTGGCTCCAGCCCATCATCTCCATGGTGATGTTCAGGTCCCCAAACCTGTGGTTGTTGTTTGCTCAGATATAGTGCCTGTGAGGGACAGACAGTTCTTGTCTGGGGAAAGGGTAAGGTACACAGACCGTAGTCAAGATGCTCTGTTCCACCTTCACCCTGAACTATCACCCTTATATCTGGTCCCAACAGAGTGTGCCCTAGAGGATGAAGTGTACGCCGATGGAGCGGAGACTGAGGTGGACTGCAACCGCTGTGTCTGTGCCTGTGGAAACTGGGTCTGCACGGCCATGACCTGTGACGGTGAGCCATGCCCCTGGCAGAAAGAAGGAGCAGTGGGGAGAGAGGGTCCTTCTTGAAATCACCATGAGAGAAGTCCAGGCAGGGATGATGGAGAACAGTAAGGTGGTAGCTGGGAGCAAGGAACCTGGGCAGCAAGAGGTTCAAGACCTAGGGCAAGATCAAATGTTGATATGAGATTCAAGTAGTAATAATAATAATGAGAGCACACACTTACTTAGTGAGAACAACGTGCCAGGCACTCTTCCAAGCATTACATATTAACCCACTTAATCCTCGTGACAGCCTAGAAAATCCTCTCTGTAAAAGGCTCAAGTATTTGGAAGATGAAAAGACTTCTCCTCATCACCCATTCTCAGAAGAAAAGGGAAAGTTTGTAGACTTTCTTTGGACTAACAGAATTAGATGTTCTTTCAAAAAAGAGAAAGTCGAGGTATTTGAGACATGGGCAGGGTAGGTCGGGGATATAGAAATGTAGAGTTTGGGAGGCCAGTGCCGGAGCCAAAGTGTATGTTGGAACCACTAGGGTCCCCTCAGGGTTCTGGGCTACAATGATGTCAAAGGTTAAAACCGGGCCTTAGGAAAAAACCAAGCACCATTCAGAATGGAGGCAAAACAGAAGGGTGAAGCCAAGTCACATTTGTTCTGGGAAGAAAGGTCAATTGGAAGGAATCAAACCCAAAATTTACACCTGGTGGCTTGAAGTTAAAATTGTATCTTAAAAAGCCAACAGAGACAAGAAAAAGCAGGCTGGTCCTAGGAGCATGTTCAAGATCATGTGACCTGGTAACTGGAGACAGAGGACCCAAGAAGAGGTTCTTCTAGATAAAAAGCCCAGGCAACACCAACAGTACAAATGGAACTCAGCACTACCCAGGGGATCCCTTGTCTCCCACTCCCCGGGGCCAAATCTCTTCTCAGTGTGAAAGGACAGGAGGCCGTCTAACTCCAGAGACAAATGAAAGAGCAGGAAGAGGCTATTTAGAGATTAGAAATGCCTAGAAGTTGCTGGAGGCCAAATCAAAGCCAGGGTAGCCAGGCCAAGCATACAGGAGCTACTGAAAACATCCCGAAACAGTACCCAGCCTGCCTCAACCAGGGAGCATCCTGAACTCATCTTCCCAGAACTCCCTGCCATAGCTGCTCACGGTCTGGCTTAGGAAAGGTAGCCGTCCATTTATAAGACACAGGCAGTTGGTGAATAGCTGGTTTATGATCATCTGGATAATGAGACCCATTACATGCATCAGACAAAAATCCAACTGATTGCCCTGATGGGACAGTGCTCATTCCCACAACAACACTGGACTGTTTATCCTTTCTGGATGGCCCCGTTTCAGAGCCCTACGTGGGTATAAAGAGCACTCTCCATGGTGGTGCCCCAGGGGCCTTAGCGTGTCTTGGTGTGTGGACCAGGGTTCTGAGAGGACGTTGTAGAGGTGGCATTCCAAGCCATTTTCAGGGCAGTACTTAAGTTAGATCCTAAATCCCAATGGCAAAGAAAAGAAGGGGGACTAAGATGTGAAGCCAGCCAGAGCCAGAGCTGAGGGAAATCACCATGCGAGGCAGCTTGATGCCTAAGTCAGGAAGCCATGGTGGAGTGGTATTTCCCTACAGGTGCTGTTCTCGGTTAATATACAGATTCCTGGGCTCCATCCCAAACCTACTGAATTGGAATCTGCAAAATAGCAGTTTGGGAACCTGTGTTTTTAAGATGTATTCTGTGATTGTGTGTGTGTGTGTGTGTGCGCGCGCGCGCACACGCACGCACGCAGGTTTGGTAAACATTATAGGTGTGGTGTGTATCAACTCTGGCTGCACATCCAAACCACCTTAAGAGCTTTGTAGAAACCTGTGCCCAGACCCCACCTCCCAACAATGACATCAAGGTCTCTGAAGATGCAGTCTAAGCAATATATTTTGAAACATTATCCAGGGCCTGTGAAAGGTAAGGAACCATTGACCCAGAAGAATTCCTGAGTCAGGATCCAGATTTTCTCCATAGCTCTTTCTGCATGGCCAGCTTCTAGAATGAATGTGCAGAGCAGTTGAAACAAAGGGCAAAAAATAGTGGGGGGTAGATTGTTTTGTTTTCAGTGTGTCACTTTGGAGGTGGCAGAAAAATGTGAGTAATTCACCTCTTCTTCCACAAATTAAATGGGAGGTAAAATTAAGAACCTAGAATGTAGATATCAGCAGCATTCCTAACTGGCTTCCCTCAGCCACCTCTACTCTGAGCCTTGGTTCTTCTTGTAGGAAAGAATCAGAAGGGGGCTCAGACCCAGACAGAGGAGGGAATGACGAGATATGTCCAGGAGCTCCAGAAGCACCAGGTGAGTTGCAGCCTCCCTACTGATTCAGGTATCTTTGCCACCACCAAACTCTTTCACCACTCAGACATTGCCCAATATCCCAGGAGACCAAAAAGATGTGCTCTGCTCAGTGCAATAGGCTCTGAATGATATAATATCAAACCACGAAACAGTTCTTTGATGGGATCCTTGCAGGGTTCTGCAGGTCCTAGCAGAATTGCTTTCTAAGTAAGAATCAGTAGGTTGGTGATTTGCAAATAGATTGCAAATGGTTTGCAAATGAGCATGGACTAAAGAAGTTTACCATTTTCTCTAACAAGTGCCCAGACTCAAAGTCCATGAATTCCTGAAGGCAAAGCTCTATGGCTTGCTCACCATTGCATCACTGAATTTACCACAGAGCCTGGTGTATAGTTTGTTCTCAGTGAACATGAAATTAATGGATTTGGACTAGAGCAGAAAGGATTTATCTTAAATGCTAAGCTGGCTAGAAAACAGCCTGGATTGACAAACACAGGAAACTTCAAGATTGTGCTTCCTGAAGACTTGAGAAGGTAGTAAGAATTCTGTTCAGGTTCTATGTCAAGTAGAAGGCCTTCTTGGGGAAAAGGTTCTTAGCAGAGTAGTGATCCACTGACATACTTTGCCATGGTCCTAGAGAGAAAACATTGGTATGCTGGACTCCTGGGCCTATCTTTCCACTAGTTTACTATAAAGTCTTAACAAAGGATATCACACCTTAGGTAACCTGTGTATAGACTGGGTCTGGTACTACAAGCCTTCTCTCTGACATAGAAGTTTTGTTGTTGTTTTTTTAATTGTTTTTTATTCCTCTCCTGAGGACATGCTTATTGATTTTAGAAAGAGGAGAAGGGAAGGCAAGCAAAGGAGAGAAACATCTATGTGAGATAGAAACATCAATCAGTTGCCTCTGGTACCTGCCCTAATCAGGAATTGAACCTGCAGTGTTTCATTTTATGGGATGATGCTACAACCAACAGAGCCACACTGGCCAGGGCCCTGATGTTGTTTTTAAGGAATATAACAATCATAAGAACTGCTAAACTATTGAGATGAAATATTTGACTTGAAAATAAATAATTGTTAATACTAATTGCTCATATTTGTTGATTTTATATGCATTTTGTCATTATCGTCACTAAAATCTCATGTCAATTTTTTTAACCAAAGCAGAATCTCTTATCCTTCATTTTTAAATGTCTCTGTCTATGAGTTCCCTCAGGAGCAGATACTAAGGCAAGGACTCAAGTACAAACAGTTTGTTTGTGCGGCAATCCCAGGAAACGCTGGGAGGGGACTTAGGAAGTTAGCACAGGAAGGGAAGAAAGCAATAGAGTGTGTCTCCAGGAGAGTTATCACTGCAAGCAAGTGGAACTTAGTCCTCCACCAATAATTTTTTTATTGAGATATAACTCAAATATAAAATTCTCATCTTTAAAATGTACAAGAGGCAGGCATGCTCAGCCCACACAAAGGACACACCTCGAACACCCTGCTTTGGTGATAGGGGAAGCTGTGCCACTGGACCCTACAGGACACCTAGTACATTAGGCCACACTACCAAGACAGGGAGCCATAGCAGTTCTACCTAATACACAGAAACAAACACAGGGAGGCTTCCAAAATGATGAGACAAAGAAACATGGTGTGGAACTCTGGAAGCAGTTACCGTGCCTGAAGGTGTTCCTACCCAAATTCCTGTCAGCCCCTGGTGAGGGCTGCCACAAGCAAACATCAATTACCTGGCATTTCTCGCCTGCCAACATGTGTGAGCAGAGTAGGCTCCAGCTGCCAGAGAAAGAGAGGCAGATGTTGGCAGTAAGAAGCCGGTTTGGTGAACCGGAAAGAGTGAAAACAAGGGGCTATGGATGGGGCACCAACAGTGTCTGCTAGATACCAGGCATTGTTGTTTTTATTTCCTATTTAATTTTTTTATTGAGATATAACTCAAATATAAAATTCACATCTTTAAAATGTACAGTTCAGATTAATAGGGGACTTCTGGTCAATATGGTGGCATAGGTAAACACGGCTTGCCTCCTCACACAATCACATCAAGATTACAACTAAATTATAGAATAACTCACTCAGAACTGGCAGAAATCTGGTTGAATGGAATTTGGACAACTACGGAATTAAAGAAGCCACATCCATCCAGGCTGGTAGGAGGTTTGGAGACACGGAATAGGCAGGTACAACATCCACATGTTGTGGATAAAAATTTCAGGAGGGATATCTTGGAAGCAAGGAGTCCTAGACCCATACCAGGCCCCCACACCCAGGGTTCCAGTGATTGGAAGATAAATCCCCACAACTTCTGGCTGCAAAAACCAACAAGGACTGAGTCGATGAAAGAAACTTCTAGAGTCCCAACCACTTCCTCCTAAGGAACTCAGGCAGCAACTTACATAGACTCACTTCCTCTGAGCTCAAGCACCAGGGTAGCAGATTGAAAGGTACCAGTGGCGTACAGGAAGGAACTGAAGTGGCTGGCATCAAGGTGAGAGCTGGGGGACAGCTTTCTCCACGACAGAAAGGTGGGCAGAGCCATAGAGCCAGCAGGTGGTTGTTATATCTGAGACTCCATCAACCTGGCTAACACTATTTGCTGCCCGCCCCACCACTCCCCACCCCAGAAATCCTGTGCGGCTCCATCCCACCCAACTTACAGCTATTATCAGTGGCTTTTCCATATGAATGGCTGGTCTTGGCTGAAGCTTCATGACTTCCTAAATCCTTCCAAACAAGCAACAGCTGGCCTTCAGTGAGCCCCAACCCCTGTACGTGTTGCTAAGTGGTCCCAGGCACAGCACTAGCAGCAGCCAGCCTAGAGGATTCACAGCTTGGCTTCACCTGGGACTCTCTAAGCGCAGCACAAGTAGCAGCCATCTCAGATTGCTCTGTAGCTCAGGCAGGGTGGCCCCAGGCAAAACACAGTTAGGGACTGACCTTGGCCTGCACCACCTGGGCAAACTCAGGGCCAGTGCACCCACTGGACAGCTACAGGCCACATCAGAGCACCATCATCCTGCTTCTGCAAGCTGATCCTCCATGGAGGGCAAAGGTTGGTGGTTAGTGGTCAAAGCCAATCCTTGCAACTGAGGGACCTGGGTAAATCCCTCCCATTGACCTGCCAACAGTAACCAAGGCTCAACTGCAAGAGGCAGGTATGCTCAGCCTACACAAAGGGCACACCTCGAACACCCTGCTTTGGTGATAGGGGAGGTTGTGCCACGGGACCCTGCAGGACACCTACTACATTAGGCCACACTACCAAGACAGGGAGTCATAGCAGTTCTACCTAATACACAGAAACAAACGCAGGGGGGCTTCCAAAATGATGAGACAAAGAAACATGGCCCCAATGAAGGAACAGATCAAAACCAGAAAAATAACAAAATGGAGATAAGTAATCTATCAGATGCAGGCTTCAAAACACTGGTTATAAGGATGTTCAAGGAACTTAGTGGGGAACTCAAGAGCATAAAAAGATCCTGTCATAAATGAAGGATGCACTAACTGAAATAAAGAACAATTTACAGGGAAACAACAGTAGAACAGATGAAGCCAAGAATAAGATCAATGATTTGGAACATAAGGAAGCAAAATCAACCAATCAGAAAAACAAGAAGAAAAAAGAAACCAAATAAAATGAGTATAGTATATGCAGCCTCTGGGACAACTTCAAGCTTTCTAATGTTCGCAACACAGGAGTGACAGGAGGAGAAGAAAAAGAGCAAGAAACTGAAAATCTATTTGAAAAAGTAATGAAAGAAGAATTTGGTGAAAGAAACAGACATTCAAATCCAGGAAGCACAAAGAGTCCCAAACAAGATAGATGCAAAGAGGCCCACTCCAAGACACATCATAATTAAAATGCCAAAGGTTAAAGGTAAAGAGACAATCATAAAAGCAGCAAGAGAAAAGAAGTTAGTTACCTACAGACAAATTCCTGTAAGACTGTCAGCTGATTTCTCTAAACAAACTTTGCAGGCTAGAAGGGACTGGCAAGAAATATTTAAAGTCATGAAAAGCAGGGACCTACAGCCAAAATTGCTCTACCCGGCAAAGCTATCATTTAGAATTGAAGGGCAGTTAAAGAGTTTCCCAGACAAGAAAAAAACTAAAGTTCATCATCAGCAAACCATTAAATGAAACATTAAAGGGATTTTGTTTCAGAAAAGAATATCAAAGCTATGAACAATAAAATGGCAATAAACACATACTTGTCAACAAGTCAATCTAAAAAACAAAGCAAACAGGAAGAACAGAGACAGAATCATGGATACAAAGGCGTTTTTTGATGGTTGTCAGATGGGAGGGGGTTGTAGGGGAATAGATGAAGAGGTAAGGGGGTTAAGAAGTAGAAATAGGTGGTTACAGAATAGCCACAGGATGTAAAGTACAGTATAGGAAATAGAGTAGCCAAAGAACTTATACACATGCCCCATGGACATGAACAATGATGAGGGGACTGGCTGAGGAGTGGAGGGTGCTGGGTGAACAGGGGCAAAGGGGGAAAAACTGGGACAACTGTAATAGCATAATCATAAAATATAATTTTAAAAAAATTAAAAAGATAATGAAATGTACAGTTCAGTGGTTTTTAGTATAGTTGCAAGATTGTCAGCCACCAGAACATTTTCATCATCTCCAAAAGAAACCTCATCCCCATTAGAAGTCACTCTATATTCACTCTTCCTGGCAACCACTAATCTACTTTTTAACTCAATAGATTTGAGTTTGGACATATATAAATGGAATTATTCAATATGTAGTGTTTTCTGTCTTCCTTTTTTCATTTAGCATAATATTTTCAAGGTTTATCCTTGTAGCATGAATCAGTGCTTCGTTCCTTTTTTATAATTAAAAAAATTTTTTAAATTACAGCTGACATACATGCTTTTTTCTGTTTTATGTTTAACTTACATTCCATGGTACGGATATATCACATAGTGTATATCCATTCATCAGTTGATAGATATTTCGCTTTCTACTTTTTGGCTATGGTGAATAATGATGTTATGAACATTCTTGTACAAGCTTTTGTGGTTTCGTTTCTCTTGGGTATATACTTAGGAGTGGAATTGCTGGGTCATATGGTGACTCTGTTTATCTTTTGAAGAAATGCCAGGCTGTTTTCCAAAGTGACTGTACCATTTTACATCCCTATCAGCAGTGTTTCAGTTTCTCCACAAACTTGGCAACACTGTCTGTTATTTTTTATTTTAGCCATCCTAGTGTGCTGGCATCTCATTGTAGTTTTGATTTGTATTTCCCTAATGATTGGTGTTTAGTATCTCCTCATGCGCTCACTGAATAAGAATGTTTTCTTTGGATAAATGTATCACAGTTGTAAGAGATGGTACTTTATTTCCCTCATTTTGTAGTTGAAGACACTGAGGCACAGAAGGTTTCATAATACCCCCAAAAACCCCATAAAGCAGTCCAGCCATGATTGAAGCTCTAGCACTGTACCTCCAGAGCCTGTTGCTCTTAACATTTCTCTGCACTTTGACTCAGGACATCTCGTAGCACTTCTATTTTGTATCCTTCTCTTCATCTTGAAAATGGGTCTAATGATGTCGGACCTGATTGTTTCATAGGAATTCCAATGGGGTCGGCTCTTAATCCAGTGATAGTACCTAGACGACCATGTCATGAGTAAGACATGATCCTTGCCCTGAAGTTGTTTGCCATCCACAGAGGAGATATAATAGGGGACAGAACTAAAATTCAGCATAAGCATGTGTCTGTCAATCCTAGATAAAGTCTTGAGGTCTAGATAAATGCCAGTGATTTTTAAAAATATTTCATAACACTTATTTTCTCTTGCTTCTCAAAGGAAACAGCCGAAAAGGCCAAGAGAGTGAGCACCAAAGAGATCTAGTGAGGAGACATCTGGGAACGGGTGTCCAGAGACTGACACCTTCTCCTCCACTTCAGCGCTGAATCCAGTATACATGAGAGCCTGCTACAATCGCCAAATCACCAGTATTTGCTTGTATAGCAACAAGTTTTATTTTCTATTTGTTTTGCAAAAAAAAGGAAATGGGGTGGCTGGCGAGGAGGGGAAAGGCCATAACCTCCATTTCTAGGAGTGATTTGAGAGAAACTGTATAAATGGTGCTCGGGGGCTAGAGGCAAGTAAGGAAACTGCATCAGGGTTGGGAGAGGAGCAGACCCAGATCTGAACCACTTCTGAGTCTAACACGCTGCAGAGAGGGCAAGCACTGCCAGAGAGAACTTAGCAGACAGGCCCAGAGGAGGGCTTTGGGAAGCTCAGTGAAGAATGCATTCTGCTTCCAGTTCTTTGTGTTGCCATCAACATAACAGAGACCAGCATCTTTGCTTCTCATGGCCCCAACCACTGTCTCTAGATACACAGCTGCCCTGCTAGCTAGTGTCCCTCGGATTTGATGGAGTTCCTGAGAAGGTACACCCAAGTGATGCAGGTACTTGTGTACTTTCAGCCCCTTAGAGACCTAACCAAATTTTAAAAATACTAAAAAGGTGCTATTTTTTTGTAAAACTTTTTGGCAAGTTGACTTCATTTTTCAATTATTATCATTATATTATTGTTGTTTTTTAATATTTTATTTTCTTGACAAGAAATTAAGCTTTTGTAATTATTTTTCCGTAGTCCTACCATTTCAAGGTGGGGGAATTTGGGATTCTTCCAAGTGCAGGGACCGCTGTAACCCAGACTTCCTGCCCTGCCACATACTAGCTGTAGCCCAGAGTTTGCCCATCTGGCTTTCAGTGGGTCAGTATTCTGCTGGAGGAGCCATGGGTGCCTCAGACAGAAGCCAGGGAAAGAGAAGCATCTCCATACAAAGCTTTGAAGATACAAAAGCTAGTTTGTTTTCAATTATTCTAAGTTCTTTCAAATCAGTATTTCAAGGATGGAGGCAAGTGCAGCTAAGTGAGGCTTAGATATCCCAGCCTATCAATATGCTTATTGATCCACCACTAACTAGGAGAGTGACTTTGGCCCTATCTCTTCCTATTTCTGGGCCTCAGCTTCCTCAGTGAGCAGGCAGGAATGCATTAACCTTTCAACTTCGTAAAGTCTGGTTCTGATCATTGGTCCATAGGAGACATGTTCCTGTGATTTTCCTTTCCTCCTTTGGGTGGATGAATACTTATGTTTAGAACAAGAAGATTCAGACAGCCAAAAACAAGATGACCAAATTTGACCTCAGTGTGAACAGCTCCCAGGTTGTGCTGTGATGCAGAGCCCTCTTGGGTAAACCATAACCTGGAAGAGAGTGAGGAAGAGAACCGCTCCACTTGTTTTCACTTTTGCATTTCCTCTTTAACCTTCTTGGAAACAGAAATGACTTTTCATTTAGAGATGAGGACAAAAAGGAGACTTCACATTTTAAGAGGGGGAAAAATTGGAAGTTTAATCTTAAAATTGTGATTGGCGAGAAGTCAGCCCTTCCTGTGTCTTTTGGCCTGTGTAGTTATTAACCCCACTCAATACCATATTTAAGATGCATTTGGAATAACAAAGATTAAAAATAAGATCTCATTTTCAGAAAGCAGATTATAGACCACCAGAGGGAAAATATGTGGGTTGTTGAAAGTTGTACTGAAAATGGAATTTCTACTAAATAAGTTTCCTTGTTCTCCTTTGTAAGGAGAACATTCCACTTTGTTTAGAATTCTGAGCTTTTATCTATCATCCCACTTAAAAGCTCTCTTCGAACCCCACTGGTGCAGTCTGAAATGCACCTGCCTGTCCCAGTGCCTTGGGGAACTCCCAGGAGCACACCTTGATCAAGTTTGCCAGTACTTGAACACTATGGGAGGGAGAGCAGGACTCCCAGTGTGTTTAAAGCAAGAAACCAGAGTGTCTCCTCACCAGTTGTTTAGGACAAGGGTCACCATCCAAGACTTATCCAACTCTGCAATGATGAGTTCCCAAGAGCAAATCTGCATTCCCCCTGTAAATAGGGAAGCTGTTATCTGCACCATAGAATCCCATGATCTGATGACCATTCATGGAAAGCTGCTAAATAGCCTAATTTGCGGAGTCTTACATGGAGCAAATAAACAGGATTAAGTTGGGTTCAGTTCCTCCAGCTCTCTTAAAGCACAGGGCTTAGTCTGCAAGCTTCCTTGGGCTTTATCTGTGTATGTACAGTTTTATAAACGTATTAATTACAGCACCTGCTAAGATCCAGTCTCCGCAGAAACCTCACATGCCATGACACTGCACTCCACTGTTTTAGGAAAGCAGGACTCCTCCACCTGCTAATAAGTCCATGTGAACCAGTGAGTGTCTTTTACACCTACATTTTAAAATAGTCAAATTTCAAGACACAATTTGAACAGGTTTTGTTGCCTGTGTGTGTGTGAAATGTATTTGTATTTAGTAGGCTTCCATACTGCATTTAACTTGTTTTTGTAATGCCTAATTTTTTTTGGATACTATTGATAAATAAAGAACTTAAAATAACAGTTGTATTGGTTTCCTCCCCTGCCCCCCCCAATAAACTTATGAGAACATATTTACCTCATAAAAGTGGATTTAGGATTCAGGAGCCTTAAAAAAAGACCTGAACAGTTTTTCCTAATAAAATCTTGAAACTGCAGCTGGGAGAGAAAATTTACTCAGGGATAGAGCAAGTTTATTCAAAAGAATGATGGACTTCCAGTCAAGATGGTGGCTTAGGTAAACATGGCTCTCCTCCTCGCACAATGACATCAAAATTACAACTAAACTATAGAAAAGCCATTATTGAGAACCATCAGAAATCAAGCTGAATGGAAGTTCTACAACTATGGAATTAAAGAAGAAGCCACATTGAAACTAGTAGATGCAGAGACACAGAACAGGCTGGTCCCACACCCATATGTGGCAGATAAAAATCAGGAGGGATATCTCGGAAGTGAAGAGTCCCAGTCCCATACTAGGCTCCCCAGCCAAGGGTTTCAGTGCCAGGAAGATAAGTCTTCATAACTTCTGGTTGTGAAAACCAGCAGGGTTGAGGCTGTGGAAGACAGAATTATGGGAGTCCCAGGCAGATCCTTTTAAAGGGCCAGCACACAGACATTTGGACTCACTCCGTCTGAGCTCTACATGGGGGTTGCAGATTGAAAAGCATCAGAGACATATGGGAAGGAAGTGAATTGTCCAACATCAGAGCAAGACCTGTGGGCTAGCATTCTCCCAGACAGAAGTGTTAGCAGAGACCATTGTTCCTTTTCTGAGTGCTCCCACAGAACCAGAGCCCACAGGTGGGCAAAATATATGAGATTCCATCAGCCTGGCTCACACTGTCTGCCTTACCCTGGTGATTCCCTAGGGCCCTGCCCCACCAAACTTTCAGGCCCACCCAAGCTGTTTCCAGTGTCTTTTCTATACAAATCGCTTGTTTTGGCCCATGCTTCACATTTTCCTAAATTCTCTCAAACAAGCATCATCTGGCTTCAGTGAGTCTTGCACCTCTCTCTAAGTTGCCCTAGGCCTGGCACCTGCAGCATCTGGCCTTAGTTTACTTCTTGGCCTAGCCTAGGCACCTCCAAGCCCAGCAAAAGTAGCAGCTATTTGCATATCTGTTTGTAGCTTACGCTGTTTGACCCTGGAAAGAACACAGGTGATGGCTTACCTTGGATGTGCCAACAGCAATCAAGGCTCAACTACAACATGAGGTTGTACACAGCCCACACAGTGGGTGCACCATGAGTACCAGCTTGGATAATAGGGGAAACTGTACCATTGGACTCTACAGGACACCTACTACATTAGGCCACTCTACCAAGCCTGGGAGACGTAGCATCTCTACCTAATACATAGAAACACAGGAAGGCTGCCAAAATAAGGAGACAAGGAAACATGGCCTAAATGAAAGAACAGAACAAAACTCCAGAAAAAGAACTGCAAGCAATTAAGAGATACAGAGTCCAAAACATTGGTTATAAGGATGCTCAAGGAATTTAGTAAGGAGCTCAACAGCATAAAAATAAAATCCAGTCAGATATGAAGGATACACTAATTGAAATAAAGAACAATTTACAGGGAATCAACAGTGAAGTGGAAGAAGCTGAGAATCAAATCAGCCATTTGTAATATAAGGAGCCAAAAAACAACCAATTAGAACAGCAAGAAGAAAAAAGAATTAAAAAAATGAGGATTGTGTGGGGAGCCTCTGGGATAACCTAAAGCATACCAATATTCACATGATGGGGGTGCCGGAAAGAGAAGAGAGCGCAAGAAATTGGAAACCTATTTGAAAAAAATGACAGAAAATTTCCTTAACTTGGTGGAAGAAATAGATGTACAAGTCCATGAAGCATAGAGAGTCTCAAACAAGATAATCCCAAGGAGGCCCACAGCAAGACACATCATAATTAAAATGCCAAAGATTAACAACAAAGAGAAAATCCTAAAAGCAGCAAAAGGAAAGCAGTTAGTTACCTACAAGGCTACAAGGGAGCCCCATAAGACTGTCAGCCAATTTCTCAAAAGAAACTTTGGAGGCTAGAAGGGATTGGCAAGAAATATCCAAAGAGATGAAAAACAAGGACCTACAACCAAAATTACTCTTCCCAGCAAAGCTATCATTTAGACTAGAAGGACAGATAAAGAGCTTCCCAGATAAGAAAAAGCTAAAGTCCATCACCACCAAACCAGTATTATATGAAATGTTAAGGGAGCTTCATTAAGAAGATCAACAATATGAACAATAAAATGGCAATAAATAGATATCTATCAACAATTGGATCTAAAAACAACCTAAAAAACAAGCAAAACAGAATCATAAAGAGTATTTTGACATTTTCCCAATGGAAGAGGTTTGAGGGGATGGGCAAAAAATGTGAAGGAATTAAGAAGTACATATTGGTAGTTACAGAACAGTTATGAATATGTAAAGTACAGTATAGGGAATAGAGTAGCCAAAGAACATATATGCACGACCCATGGACATGGACAACATTGTGGGGATAGCCTAAGTGGGGGTAGGCAGGGTAGAAGAGGCAAAGGGGATAAAACTGGGACAACTATAATAGCATAAACGATAAAATATAATTTAAAAAAAGAATGATGGATGGTGGGTCTGAGGTGAGAAGTGATAAGAAGTCAGGATGTATTGAGAAAAGGCCCCTAAAGGCCCCATGGGTGTTAGGAGACTGGAATGGCATCAGAAAAGGCTGCCTGCAGGTAAACCTGTATGAGAAGCCTAATAAACCATGGCAGGTGGCACAGGGAATACACCAGGGTCTGGCTGGGTAACCTTAATGGCTTTTACCAGATATGCACATATTATCCATAGGCATAAACATTTTCATGTGGACTGAATGTTGGCTAGTTAAGACCCTATGTTCTGCTCCATCTTGGAGGCATATGCTTGCCTCCAGGCAACACTTGCTTTCCCCTCTCCTGTCCCAGTGATTCCCATAGCCATCATGTACTCCCCACCACCAAAAATACTGTCTTCCAAAAGAGCTCATTATGGTCAATCAGGTTTATGCTTTTTAAATTTTAGTCATACGTGTAGAAGTCTTGTTCTCTAAAATTATAGCCACGTCACCTTGATTGGATTTAGGGTGTTACTCCATTGCTAATCAAATACTAAAAGGCTATCTCTGGTTATGGTATTGATACAGATTACCAAGCTCATTAATCACAGTTTGATTATTCAAATTTCCATTCTCATAAGGGAATCTCAAACCCAGTTTGAAGGGTAACTTGTCCACAGCCACTTTTAAATATTGGATGGCCTCTCCCAAACCATGCTCTGGGAGCACTTTTCCTGATATTACACTGTGTGTGTGTTCAGGAAGTAAAAAATAAGTTAAAATAATGTGAAAGAAGCCTAATTCAGAAGGTAAGTTTTCTATAATCAAAATGTAATATTAAGAATTGTGCAAATTAGTACAGATAACATTAGTTAGCTTTGCTTTGGAGCACCTGTGTCAAGTTCCATCAGTCCCTCTTGAATTATTTCTAAAATAAGGGGAAGGATAGAGAGGGAAAGAAAAAGAATATGAATGAGTAGATGGATCTAAGATCCATTCAGATCCCTGGAGTAAATCTGGATAGACGTGGGACAAGAAGAAAGCAAACCCTGGGCTACTGCTGCTGAGGGCTGTTCCATGATGAAACAGGAAGCATCGTTTTGCTGTTGGAATGAGAGTCTTTCTGTCAATAGGAGTTAATTTTTCCCAAATTATTTCACACTTATTTCTTATTTAAAAAGTAATATATGCACATGACAAAAAATATTCAAATTGTATCAAAGAAAATACAATGAGAAAATTCATCATCTTGAAGAATGTGTACATTTATAAATTTGCTTATAATTGCCCATTGTTCTTCAAAGAAGTTGCTCCCAGTTACATTCATACCAAAATTAAATAAATTGAGCATGTCTATTTCCCTACTACATTTTTGCAAGTGCTGTGTCTTAAAATTTCTGGGCCTCTGATAGAAGAAAACTGATAACTCATTGCTTATTTATTTTGTTATTCCTTTTGTGAGATTGAGCATCTTTCCATGAATTATTGGTCCTTGTCCTTTTCTTTTATTCCCTTTGCTCATTTTTCTATTGGTTGTTGGCCTTTTGCTTATTGGTTTGTAATACCTCTATAACCCTGTGAAAACATATTTTACCTATAAGGAATACAGAGTTCATGAAGTTTAAGGAACTTACCTAAAATCACACAACTAGCAGGGAACAGAGTCAGTATCCAAACCTGGGTCCCTCATACTCACTCTACTTTACCACAACATTTCCCTTTATTTTAAAGATCATCACATCCACCCCATGTTCACTGCAGCATTATTCACAATAGCCAAGATACAGAAGCAACCCAAGTGCCCATCAACAGATGAGTGAATAAAGGACATGTGGTACATTTATACAATGGAATACTACTCAGTCATTAAAAAAGAATGAAAGCTTATCATTTGCAAGAATATGGATGGCTCTAGAGGGTACTATGGTAAGTGAAATAAGTCAGAGAGAGAAAAAATACCATATAATTTCACTTAGATGTGGAATTTAAACAACAAAATATACAAAACAGAAACAAATTCATACAGAGAACAAACTGAGGGTTGCCAGATGGGAGGAGTGTTGGGGGTCTGTGTGAAATAGGTGAAGGGATTAGGAAGTACAAATTGGTAGTTATAAAATAGTCATGGGGATATAAAGTACAGCATAGGGAATATAACCAATAATATTGTAATAACTATGTATCGTGCCAGGTGGGTACTACAATTATTGGGGGGGGTCATTTTTGTAAATTATATAACTGTCTAAGCACTATGCTGTACTCCTGAAACTAATATAAAATAACACTGAATGTCAACTGTAATTGAAAAATAAAGATCACATCAATGGGAACCATTAATTCCCAATTAGTGTTCTCTATTATGCAATTGCTGACCACATAAAAGTAAGTCATAAGTTCTTTCATTTAGTTCTAATAACTACATGCAGGTCTTGCTTT